CGCTGGAGCCAGGGGTGGGGGGGGCAGTCAAACCGAAGGGGCTGGGGCCGTGGCATGGGGAAGCTGGGGAGGCTGGGGCTGTGGCTTGGTCCCGCCAGAGCAGCTGGGGCTGTGGCGTGGTGGGGCCTGAGCTGCCGCTGCCTCTGGTGAGGGGGCACAGGCTCGGCTCACTGCTGGTCGGGCCGGGCACCTGGGGGGCCACTGCCTGTGGGGGTGGGGCCGTCACGCTGCCCCTGCTGGTGGGGCCCGGGCGCCTGGGGGCCGCTGCCTCTGGGGATGGGGCTGAGCTGAAGCTCCGCTGTGCTGAAGCGCCAGTCGGGTGGGCCAGGTGGGGAAGGGGTGCTTACTTTCGCCTTCCCGATCTCAGAGGTTTCTCATCTCACTGTCGCTCTCTGCTCTCCTGAGGGGCTAGCTTGCCGAAACTACCCTAGCAACAGCTCCACTCTCTCTGTAGGGGGCTCCCCTCGGGCTGTGAGGGGTTTTGGAGAGCGCCGGCGAGCCGCCCCTCCCCCTCCTCTGAGAGCCGCATGGTCTCTGTCTCTGGGTCGCAGTCCTTGGGGAAGGAAATGAGCTCCTCTTACCTCCTACCACTTCCTCTGGGGATTCCAGCACCTCCGTCCTCAGGTGTACGGCTGCCTGGGTGCCTCAGACATCCCGTGTTGTGTGAATAGCTTCTGTTGGAATATGAATGTCCTTTTTGTTGTGTCTTAGAGGGGGAGAGTTCAATGTGGGAAGTTCACTCTGGCATGATGCTGACGTCACTCCTCACTCATCTTTTTAAACACCATTTTCTTCTCTATTTCAAGAGCAGGTTCTCCTCATATGGGTTACATAAAGGTGCATAAAGCTTTCCAGCATCAGGAATTGGGTGAGCCCCCATGGTGGGCACCAAAGTCTCATTAGGGCAGAAGGAAAGTCTGGGCCGGCTGCCAGAAAGGGACGGTGCATGAGCGGGTGGATGCAGTTGGTGTTGGATGTGGGGTGATGGTCTATCCAAATGGTCTATCCGGTGTTTTATGCTGGACATTAAGGAGAGAAAGAGGACACCCTGTCCGACCAGACCACCACTCCTATAAGCCATGGTCCTCACACTCGGAACTCCCTGCTTCGAGGATGTAGGGCATTTTTTATTTTGGCGTTTGTCTGCTCGTCAAACATCCACTGAGTGCTGAGTGAGATGCTCTGGCATGCTATGGGCCATGCCAGGCCCTCGCGGATACAGACCCCACAGTGAGGCCTTTTCTGGGCCGCACACCTCGCTGAGTGCTTTGTGTGTGTTCTCTCTCGGAACCCTCACTGCACCCCTCCTTTGTTGCTTTCCCCATCGGAGCTCTGGTCATACCTTATCACAGTTGTCAACTGGGCGTCCTTTTCACCTATGAAAGACTGCTGGGTATAATGGAAAGGCAATGGGCTCTGAAGGCCAATTGCTCTGGTTCAAATCCCAGGGTCCCACTGTAACACTTGACACACCTGTTTAAATTCACCTCTTTAAGCCTCAGGTTTCTCACCTATCAAATGGGAATAACAGCCCTTATCTCACAGGGCTGGGTGAGAACTAAAGGAGATAATTCATAACAAGCATTTTTTGTTTCTGTCACATAGTAAATGTTCAGTAAGTGGTCTCTATTATTATTTTTTTCTTGAGAATAGGATCTGTAACTACTTTCCCTTTGTGTTCCCATAGGGCCCAATACCTGGTAACATGTTCATTAGCTGTTTGTTGAATGACTGAATGAGTGCGTGCCCTTTGAAAATGAGAACCCATGTTCTACTGCTCTTCAGATTTCTTTCTTGTCAGCCCCACAGCAGCTCTGGGACAGGTAAAGCTGCCCCCCCCGACACGGCACCCACCCCTCTGGCCAGGACTTAACCGGAACAAAGGGCCTCAGGTTCCCCCGGCTCTGCACCATGGAGGGAAGGAGGAAGGACTCTGTGGTCTTTCTGCTGATGCTTTCCAAAAGGAAGAAGCACCCCTCAACCACAAATGTCTTCTTTTGCCATCCAGTAGCTTCCCGAATGGTCCCAAGAACACGGCTGGCTTCAGAAACTCCTTCTCCTTGAGAATCAGGGTGTCTAACCAGCCTCCTCAGGAGGCAAGACCTGGGCCCTGGCTTGCACCAGCTGTCGGACAGCGGTGCCCCTGAGTCCATGGGCACAGTTGGGGTTCTCATTCCTGGCTTTAATGCCCAGGCACCTCTATCTATACCCCCTAGACCCTGTCATTTCCTTTCAGGAGCCGTGGAAACAGGAATACAGGCACCAAGGAAGAAGGAAGGGGAGACAAGTGCCACCTCCCACTCCAGTTCTGTCCTCCTGCAGGCCTCGTGCTCTGTGCGTTGACCTCTCACCCCCTTGCCTCACAAGCCCCGCCCCCTCCGCAGTAATTCAAATGAACAAGCACTGCTTGTGTGGCCCTGGATTGGGGATGGTGTCCTGGTCCAGGAGAGGGGACACTTGAGTTCAAATCTGCCCTCTGCTACTCACTGGCTATGGGATTTCAGACCAGTCACTTTTGCTCTTGAAACCTCAGGATCCTTGTCTGTAAAATGGGATATGATTACCCATCTCAGAGGTCTGATGTGAGAACTGGCAGTGATGTGCACACATAGGAAGTAATCTCAAAACTGCAGTTAACTGCTAACTATTATTACTCCACACATTCAGGGGCTGAGGCGTGGCAAAGGCCTGGAAGATCCCAGCCCCAGATTCGCTTGTCAGATGTGCTAAAAATAAGTATTTTTCTCATCCCCTAAGCTTGGTCAGCAGAACGGAGAGACCCCAGCAGACCCCAGAAAGCCTCATCCAAGCCTGATTGTGGACACCCGCCCGTGGATTCCGCTTACAGGGAGCAATTTAAGAGGCAAACAAAACATGCAAAGCTACTCAGAATTAACAACGGGCCAGATGGTAATGCTAGTTTGAAGCAATAAAACAGGATAAATAGCTTTCTGCTGCTACTCCTGATCAATTTCAATATTTAATAATTCCACTGCCCCCCCACCCCCTCATCTGGCCCCCTCCACAGGATCCTGTGATGACTCCTCGCATTCAACTCACAGAGCAAACACTCCTTCACTTTCTGAAGGCGTCAGCAAAAAGCGTGCTGCTCGATTGTCACATGAGCGCTCTCGGCCGTCGAGATGATAATTAATCTGCCTACTTCCCCTAAAGACGCTCCATCTCATGCCTCTCCTGGTTGCCAGGGAAGGCTATAAGGGAGCTCTGACTGCAGAGACGCGATAGGAGTCTTGGTATTCCCCGACTTTTGCATTTGAGTTAAAGCAAGGGGAGCTGTAGGGAGCTGGGTCGTCATCTTACTCTGGGACCAATTAGTAGGATAAAGCAACCCGGAAGGGCACTTTAGGTGGCAGCGTGGTGTTAGAGCCTTACCCCCCAGCCATGCCTCTGAGCCTGTTTCCTTCTCTATACAGTGGAGATCATGGAGCCTACCTCCAGGAGAATTACAGCCAGCGCTGCACATGCGGAGTGCCCGGCAGAGTGCTTGGCAGGCAGGAAACGCCCAACAACTGGCAGCAGCAGCATCATCGTCAGCTGTGAAGCCAATCAGCAAATGATGCCTGAGCGCCCTGCCTCCATGAAGGGCCTGCTGGTCCCTGTGGTCACGGAGCTGTTGCCCAGGGCAGACCACAGGTGCGGGGCAGGATCTGGCAAGGAGCACCCTGCTGTCAGACAGACCCAGCCCAGGATTCTCCCCAAGTGGCGCTCACGAATAAGATTAACTGCCTTGCACTGCCTGTGAGGCTTCCACCGGCTTTCCTGCCCCCTGACCTAGGAGACCTCGGGGTCCCCTGGAGAGCAGGTATTTTGGCCCTGTTCCAGAAGAGGAAATGGAGATGAGGTGAAATGGCTTTTCAAGCTTACATCATAGGAAATGGCACAGTCAATTCTAGTTTGGATCTCCCAACCCCTGATTTCGTGGCCTCTCCCCGAATCACAGGGGAAGGCTGCTCCGTGAGGTGCCCCCTCCTCTGTGCGTCCCTTTCACAGGGAGGGAAGCCCGGGGCCCAGGTTACCTGAGCTGCAATTTGCTCATCTGTGAAATGAGACTGGTAATACCCACTGCACTGGTTCACGGGCACATTTAATGAGGGAATATGCATGAAAGTACTTTGTAATTTTGTGATGAACTGTACAAATGTCAGGTCTGGTCATTAAGACTTTTTAGAAAAACACCCTCTGTGAGGAAAAAGATCAGAAACTCTTTCCCCCAACGGTGGATTCTTCTCACTGAAGCCTTCACTGGCGCCGCGTAACCTAGAGGCTCAAGATCAAACTCTCTTGTGTCGTGTTCGAGGCCTCAATAGCTCACGCAACCCCATCTCTGCCCCTTCCCCCTTCCCTTCTCGAGTCAGCCCGTCTAAGCTACTTGGGGTTACCTGGACCTTTCACATGTGTCCATGCCTAGGCCAGGCAACATCCCTGCTGGAGGAGTCTGTCCCACCCTGTTCACAGGCTTATCCCACTCATGCTTCTCCAAGAAGTCTTCCTTGGGCCTCCCTTGATGAGGAGCTCCTCCTCTGGGTTCCCTGATAGCCTCTCTGTTTCCTTCCACCCTAGCCTGCATCACCCTCCATCCTAGCCCGCATCACGGTACCCTCATCTGTGAGTTCTCTCCGAGTGAGAACCAAGCGCTATTCGCTCCATCCAGGGCCTGGCCCAGCATATGCTCAGTCCATGTGTGCTGAGGGATGAATGAATAAACGAACAACTGAGTATCCCCAGGATAAAGGGAATCAAAGTCTCAAGCAAAGACAAGGGATTCTAATGGTGGAATTAGAATTTGGGTGGGCACAGCCTTGGTAGCAGGATTCAGGGTTGCGCTCCTGAATTCAAACTCAGCTCAATCCCTTAAGCGAGCTAATAGGATAAACTTCCTCCCTCCCCAACCTTGACGCTTAGCAAGAGGGAGCGGAAGATGTGCCGCCCGCCCCTGTCTGGGCCCCCGCGGGGCGGGGTGGAGGCCAGTGCTCGGGTACCTGAGCCTCGCTGGTCCAGGGCCGTGGCGCTCCACCTCCGTGTGATGTCCATGTAGAGGATGTCCACGGCGGCCATGGACAAGCTGCTGCTGCTGAGCTTGCAGGTCCTGCCGGGGAGGAGAAGGCGCACGTTACTGCCGGACCCAACCCGTCCGCTGCTGCCTGGCCTCCACGCCTCGGCCTGGGCTGTGTTCCCACCCGGCAGGCCCTCCCTTCCCACAGCTGGAGCTAGTGAAGGGGGCACGGCAGGGAAATTGGGGAGAGAAGGCTGCAAAGACGAGTTGAGGTTAGGTCATGTGGGTTCCTGCAATTGGGTTAATTACAGATCTAAAGGGCTGGGAAGAGCAAGGACCTCAGGGTGGCGAGTCTTGAGTTGAGCCTGGCTCTGCCTCTTAGAGGCTGGATAGCCCCGGCTGAGCCTCCGTTTTGTCACCTGTAAAACAGGCAGTCTTTATTACAGTCGCTGTGTGTCAGCCTGTCCTTACACATGCCGGTGTAGGTCTCTGCCTGCTCCGAAAGGGAAGTGGGAGCACCACGTTCCAGAAACCCTATGTCTTCACCTTCACGTCCATCAGTCTCCGGGAGGAGGAATAAAACTAGACGTGCAGTGCTGCCTTCTCCTGCCAGCGTCCAGGCGGCTGACGGTGGCATGCTCGGATGACCCAATGATAATGGCATGTCACTGATACAGGCTGAGGCAGCACGGCTGTCCGGAAGTGGTTCCCCACTGGCAATGCTCACCAGATGGGTCCCTGGGGCCAAAGCTACAGACAAGGGCTTGAGGCCTCTGTACTTCACCCAGCTTAATCTGTCACCTGGAGATTTACAGGCCCCGATCAGCCACAGTAAACCCAAGATTTACCGAGCAGAACAGCACAGGCTGGCCCACGCCCCTTGTGTGAGCTGAGGCAGCATCGCCGGGTGAGCCCCTCCTGACCTGAGGGGAGTCACCTGGAAACGAGAGGAGGGGGGAGGGGGCCGGCCTCTGAGCTTCGGATGTTCTCCTAGCTTAGGTGCAAGAGGCGAAGAGAACCAGGTTTCCAGTCCGATATCAGCAATGGTGCTTTCTGTCCAAGCCACAGATGGGTGTTGAGAATCTTCTTACTCCTCCTCCTCACTTGTGCTTTTTTGGTCTGGAAATGTGGGGAGGGAGTCTGGCTCACTGGAAAGAGCATGATTTGGGCATTAGACAGACCGGGATTGAAATTCTGGCTCTGCCGCTTTTTCTAGCTATGTAACTGTGGGCAATTGCCTTAAACCTTCTATGCCTTTATTTACTAGTCTCTAAAATGAAGAGAATAACATCTGTCCACATGGCTGTTGTAAAGATGAGACGAGGCAGTGCATGCCAAGGACCTGGCACGGCACCTGGCACCTGGTTGGCCCACAATTGTTTCCCTTCCTGATCTCTCTCCCCTTCCTTTCCCTCTTCTGGAGCTAGAACCATCTCAGCCCCATCAGAGGCTGCCTGAGGCTGACCTTTCAGTGAGTGGCCCTGTCCATTCCGGAGAAACAGAGCTCGCCAGTCAGAGTATCTGGGTGCAAGGGCTCAGGCTCTCTGTTCAGACTGTAGGTAGCCGTTGGTCTGTCCAGGCGCACCGCCCTCCTGAACAGGATTGTGCTGGGAGGCAAGTCCCACCGCGGGCTGGATTTGCTCTGGGACTCCTGAAAGCTAGACCCCCGGGCCAGCTGTCCATTTGGCTGAACTACATTCAATGCTGCTTTCAACTTTCCAAATGTGTCCACCTCCATTGCCCCAGCTAATGATAAAGTGGTTCTTTGATTTCCCATTTGTCATCATCCCTTGTGTGAACAGCTCCCTTAGGAACTCACCAGGCCAGGGGTTGATTGGCAAGCAGGATTTGGGCATTCCAGAGGTCCCTTTCCAAACCCATGCATGCCCCTAACAATGGTGGCTGGGAGTGTGCCCAGCATGGTGCCCGGATGAGGCTAGTGCTCCTTATATGCTAGCACACTATCTCCCACCCTCCCCCTTCCTTCCTTTCTTCCCACAGGCATTTCTCAGGCCATCAATTCACATCCTGCTTCCTCCTGGGCTCCTGCTCGTATTTCAATCACAAGTCACTGTGGCAGACTTCAAAGCACATCAGTGCACCGTTATTGAGCCCCAGTAACAATACGTCAGTGGACGCGGAGCTTTTCACGTCACCTGTCACCGAGATGGCTATCTCTATTGGGTCCCGCCAGGATGATGCGCCAGTTGCTCCCAAGGTATTCTAACAACCTGCGCTGCTCATTTCCAAAGCCTCGTTAGGAACGGCCACTGGTTTTCCCTAATTATCATATCAGTGTCCTCTGGACTGCCTGCCCCCCACGGGATGGGAGCTCTGCCTGGCTGGCTCAGAGGGTTAATGGAGTGTAAAAAGGGAAACCAAACTGACCAATGGTATGTAGTTTTCTTTTTCCTGACAGGTAGAAAATAGAAGCGTCAAACCTTTAGCAGGAACCGTAATTTACCAAAGAGAATTCTCCATTGATCCCTTTCCCAAGGTAACTCATCCTCCTAGTGGTGCCTGCAAATCCAGTAGATCACAGCTTGTGCTGCCATCTGGGACAGGGAAAGGAGGGCTCTGTGCTGGCTGCAGTAGCAGGAAATGTTTTAAAAGAGTTTTGATTCTGTAGGCATTTCTTGGGGACCATCTACATGCCAGGCCCTTTCCTGAGCATTAGCTTTCTGGATCTTTACAACCACTCTATGAGGGAGGTCTTCTTAGTTCCATTTCAATGATGGGTAAGTTGAGACTCAAGAGAAGGGACATCAGCTGGGATTCATACCCAGTCCTCCCCTGGAGGATAGAGCAGTGGGCTTGGGAGCTTTGGGGAGAAGTGGGGAGGTAGCCCAGCCCAGGGCCACAGGAAGAACCCAGCATTCAAGACATAAAGACTCAGGTGGGGCCTGGTAAGAGAGGCCCTGTTGGGAAGCTTTGGGATATAAGGCTGGGGGAAGACCACCAGGGTCACATAGAGACAAGTTCTCCCTGGTTTGTCCCCACGGTCAACAAACATTCTCAGTCAACCCAAACAGGAAATGACTCCAAGGGTTGAGACTTTGGAATGAATTTTTGATCCATGCATCCACTCAATACAGAATTTATTTTGTGTCCATTGTGTGTAGGTGGTATTCTGGGCCCAGCGAGTGATGCAGAGCTGACGCAGTCTCAGGTACCACCCTCAGTGGGTATAAATGAGCTCAGAGTCCAGGGTAAAAAAACGAAGGCGTGGTAGCTCTTCATCACTGACAACAGTTTCCCCTTAGGACCTGGGGTGCAGGTCTTCAAATGACTAATGAGTGGAAGGATAAATTCTTCAGTAGAAGAGAAGGCTGAGAAATATGGTGACATGAAAAGCCACAAAATTTCCTAGGAAAAGATAGGCTCGAAACGTACATGGGAAACATGAGCTATGGAGTCAAATGCACGTGAGTTGGAATCTTGACTTTGCTGTGTGATCTTGAGCAAGTCCCTGAAGCTCTCTGCATGTAAATTTCCTTATTTGTACAATGAGAATAAGGCTACTCACCATACAGAGCTATTTGAAGGACTAGCTCGGTGCCTGGCACATACAGGGAAGCGGCAAATGACGGCTCCTAGCCTGCCTCCCTGACATAGAACCAGTTTGAAGAAATGGTTTTTTGGTTTTTTTTTTTTTTGCCGAATCAAAGGAATTTGGGCACATATGATGGGAGAGAATAACAAATCATTCAAGTTCATTAGAAGCCCAAGTATAGAAAGATTTGAAATTACCATCCCCGTTTCCTCTCAACAACTACTGACATTGCGTGGGAAATTTAGAAACCAACTTTTTCCACGCCATAAAATCCTATTTATAGAATTTCTTTTGTGTTCATCCTTCTCTCTGAAGGAAAAGAAGCTTATTTTTCCTGGAGAAGTTTCTACAAGGAGAAAGCTAAGAAATGATCAATATTCATTGTTTAAAAAACCCCACTATCTAAACATCTAGGGGGAGAAAAAGACAACCCTGGCTTATAATGTATATATTTTTTACAGGCTATTGATATCCCAGGCATAGAATCTCACAATATTGCTGGAAAGAGATCATCACAGAAGAGGGGGACTTTGAAAGTCACTGAAGAGTTAATGACAGAGGGGGAGAGGCAAGGCCTCTAACATTTCTATTCCAGAACATTCTAACACACCATGTTGCCTCTCAGAGAATAAAACCCCCCAAAGCTATCCATTATGAAGCATATTAATATCTCCTTATGAGAAAAGGGAGGGGAAGGGGAAAAAAAGGAAAAGGAGAAATCTATTCTCTAATTTAAAAGGAGACCAGGCTCAGAAACCACACAGGGATGAGCAGGGATCACCAAGTGGAAAGGCCTCACATGAAGCAAATGCTCACCGTGTGGAGAAGCCGCCTCCATTTCCTAGAGATAAACCCAGTTTTGGCAAACTGTTTAATCATCTGCTTTGGAGATGGAAAATGCAGCGTGTGCAAATTGATGTGAAATTCTGATGTAGGATACATTTGGAAAACGTGTTCTTAGCGAATTACATAGGATGCCCCCCAAATTAGTAATCCAATGGAAGGCAAACAACAAAAATGCGCTTCCCTCAAAGAAAGGTGTCAAACTGAAGAATCAGATAATTTCTATTTCTTGGAGAAAGAGAAGTCTCCACACCCACCCAATTATTATGGAAAAAAAAAAAAGACAGAGAAAAGAGGCGCTTAATTTACAGTAATCTGTGCTACTATTATGCGCCTCCTGAGGAAATGACACGAAAAACTGGTTCGATAGAGTTAAGTCTAGACAAGAAAACGAGAGTCCATTATTTCTCATTTCTTGGTGGAAAAGAAAAATAGAATATGTCCAGACTGGCATTAGCATAATTCACTCCTAAAACTGCTGATCTATGCAAGCACATTATGAGAGATGGTCACTGAAAATAAATTCAATCGGATTGTGTGCGATTTTGTTCCCTCCAGTTCTCTTCAAGGAACTTGGAGAGAAGGGGTGGGTAGGACAGGTGAAAGCCGAGTTCAACTCCTGCGTTCGCGGGGGAGCTCTGAGAGGAGTCTCTATCTAGCCTGCAAATATGTCTCCTGTGCAGAGCTCCAGAGAAGGGCACTTTTAACGTATGGCATAAATATTATTAATTCATAATGAAGCACAATTTAAACTGAAGTGGAAAGGAGAGAGAGAGGAGTTGTTAGCAAGAGAAAACGCTTGCTGTTAAATTTAGCTAGCAAGACTGAACATACTCAGAGAAATCTAAAAGCAGAGAATATCGTCTTTTACCATTCAGTCGCTGTCGGGATCTCTTGGTGCATTTTAAAAAGAAAAATCTGTCAACGGTTGTGCAATGTTTTCTCCATTTCTTCCTGCGTCCTTAATTACTCAGGACGTGTGCTGGGTGGGTGCGGAGGGAGGTGAGAGGGGCCCCTATTCCCCACCTGAAGACATACCTCTCCCTCCCTCCTCGCGGTCACCTTCACTCCCGCTAACAGTGCTCCGCGCAGATTGGGAATGACGGCGGCGGGACCTAATAGTCTCTAACATCACAAAAATCGTTTTTTCATGCAAATGTCCTTAAAGATAGAGAACAAAGGGATGGAAAATCATAAAGCCTATCACATACAGATTTGTCACGATATTTTTGACATCATCCAGTCCAGTCTGAGAGCATTTCAGGAATCTTCTTTGCTAGAACTATTCTCAGTTCTGTTTTGCTTTCCAGATTGTGCATGAAGACAGCAGTGGTCTTAATATGTCCCTCGGCCTCTCACACCAGAGGGCACACACTTGTGGTCTCTACGGGTAGTCTTGCTTTGACTAAACCCATACAGTGTTTAAAAATTATTTTCTGAATTGCCAACATCAATATACATGTATCGAGATTTTACATAAAAATCAGTATTTCTAGCTTCTCTTGAGAAATCAAAACCTCTGGTGATCCTAGTCCAGCAGCACCCCTTCCTGTTGTAGGGGCAGGTGCTCTCCAGGCTGCCACAACCCCACCCTCCCCATTCTTCTAGATCAGGCCTGCTGGCTTGTTAACGTCCCTGGAGGCAACTGAGGTTGTGATTCTTATCGTAAGTTATGTTTTCAAATCTCCCCCTCTCTCTTATGTTTTAGTAGAATTTTATTAGGAATTAAAAGGAAGCGTCTGACAGAGGCCTTTTGCTCTTCTTCCCTTCCTTCTTCCTGCCTGGAAGTCGACCATGATAGCTAGATTTTGAGCAGCCATCTTGTAACCATAAGGTAACTCTGAAACTTGAAGCACATACTTAGGATGGATGAGCAGAAAGACAGAGAGTGGGGTGTTGATCATATTGTGGAGTCATTAATCAGCTCTAGGACCCCCACTGCCAAACTTGCTGTTATATGAGAGAAAATTAATCTCACTATTTAAACCACTTATGGATGAGTGTCTATTACTATAAGTCAAATGCAATTCCTAAATGAGTCAGAGGGTATCAGGTAGTATTCTCAGGGAAATAACAACATGTGTCTGTAGACTTTCTTGAAAACTCCCACTGCCTGATGGAAATAATAACCACAAGACTCCCATTTAACAAAGAGCTTCTGTAAATTAGGCACTGGGCCACGTGCTTTATGATATATTACATCCTAACCTCATGATAACCCTGCCAGGCAGGGGTGATTATTCCCATTTTACAGATGAGGGGACTGAGACTCAGAGAAGATAAAGGATTTGCCCAAAGCCACACAGCTATTAAGTAATGTACTTGGCTCTGAAGTCAGACCCCAAAGTCTGTGCTCTTTCCCCGGGGCTTTCTTTTTTCCTCCGACAGTGACACAAAGCCTGTCTCAAAATCACCGTGCAAACACTACTTTAGGGTGACTGAAATGGCAAAAATCTCTGATGCTTCTGTTTACCATCCTCTCAGGAATATCAGAGGGCGAGAGTTAGAATTTATAAAATTCATTTGGAGAAAAGAGTATGACAAAAATGATTTCTGATTCAAGACTTCTAATTATTTGCTTTAGTGAATAAAACCACGAAGAGAGTAACTTTGAGGTGCAAGGTAGAAATATTAAAACCAATGATGAGAAAAACATCAGCCACATCGGACGCTGGCAGATAGTTTCTCTGAGGTGTAGAACACACAATCCTAGGCTGTAGGTCGTTTCACCCCCATCTTATAGGATCACTTCGGTTCAGAGACAGTCATTAACTTACCCAAGGTCACACAGCTAGTAAGTGCTCCTCTATGGCCCCAAAGTGCCCCAGGGGGTAGAGGCAAGTTAACAAATAATTCTCAGGAGATTGAGTGGCAATGGCTTATTTTGTAGGCTGCAGCAAAAACACAACTTCTTTATCTCATGTTTTATCTTTAAAATTAATGCAAATTTTGTATTATACTCTATAATATAACCATGTTATTTTTTATAATAGAACAAACATATTGAATTATTTATCAACTGAATTATTTAACTTTTCTCTCTTGAAATTGACACTTTGGAAAGATGTGCCTCGTTTCTCTGCTGTGGCTTCGTAAATGCTCAGCACACAGCCACGTACCACTGGGAGAACATCACCCCAGCTTAAGATGCACGAGGTTGGTCTGAGTCCGAGGGGCAATTATTTATATGTGGTTTAAGGACTTCGTTCAAGGCGGCACAGAGTTGTTTTTTAACCACAAGCATCAGGTTGTGAATGCTGTCACATCCACAGTATTTGTTAATGCATTCAACAAATAAGAGTCTGCTACGTGCCAGGTCCAGTGCCAGCCACTGGGCCAACTCAACCCCAAACGGGATACTGACCGGGCACCACAGATTCTCTCAGGAGCAGTCAGGGAGATTGGTCCAGCTGGATGTCAGGCTGGACTCCACCCTGCCCGAATCTCAAGCCAGAGGGGGCTGGTCTCACTGACCTTATGAAGGTCCGGAAGCCTGTTGGTCCCAACTTCATTGTCCCCTTGATTCCCAGGAACCGGATAAACAAGTTTGCCATCCTGTCCCCCAGGCGCAGGTAGTTGAACTGCTTTGCGTACTTGGGGAACACTTGCTTGAGGCAGATGGAGGGCAGGTGGGCTTCGGGAGTGGTGTTGCCGTCCGAGGCGCTGGCCAGCTCACTGTCGGAAGGATCTTCCTTTGTGGCTAATGGCTTCTCAAGCTGCTGAGACCTGAAGCACATGAGGAATTAATGATAGAAGCAACATCTGCGGGGGGCTCTACAGCAAACAGGGCACTTTCCCTTGCATGTTTTCCTCCCCTTTAGATTGACAACCTCGGGAGGTGGGTATTATCAGTGTTTTTGGGGTGCAGACCAGAAACCTGACCTCAGAGAAGTGACCCGGCCAGCTCACACCGCTGGTGTGTGGCAAAGCCGGGACTTGAACCTAGGGCAGAGCCAGGCCTGGAAACTTCCGCTTCCTCCGTCCCACCATCCTGGTTTCCCAATATGGACAACTTCCTTTACTGTGCTCGTGATTCAAACGAGTACTCTATTATGGAGCAGTCTGGGTTTGATTTCAAACTCCTACTTATGGGTAGTAATTGAATAATTAAGAAATATAAAAATCTCATTGAGGGCTGGCAAGAAGCCAGAGGCACAGTTCAATGAACAATTTGCAAAGATACATCAGTTACCCAATTCTAGGAATAGGCACAATTACATTTTCTGGCTTAACTATTTTCTTATTTGGAACTCTTACAAAAAAAAAAATGATCATAGTGTTGTGATTGCTTAGTTGGATATTTTATTCTGAAATTATTCTGATATTCAAGAAAATTAGCAGCTAGTAACTCTCAAATATCTACCTCTAGCTTGGACTGCTCTTCTCACTTCCAGACATATCCAACTACCACCTGTTTGACTTTCAGGATGGCCCACAGGCAATTCAGACTGAAATGACCACTTCCCCTCACCCCAGATCTGCATTCCCCATCTCCTTGAATGTCACCACGGTCCACCAGTTACATAAGAATGAATGCCAAGTCCCCTTCTCCCTCTGCCTCTAGAGCCAGTCCTGCCTCCTCAGTATTTCCCGAAACCGGCTGCACTCTCCCCTGCCTGGGCTTATCCACTCTCGCCAGGACTGTAGCAACAGGGCCTCCTGCCTCCAGCCTTTCCCATCCGTAGATCCATCCTCCACACTGGTACCCCAGGCACCCCTTTTAAAACCAACCTGGTCGGGTCACCTGCGTGCCACAACTCTTCAGTGACTCCCAAGAGCCTACACAATTAAGTCTGTACTCCTCATTCCAGCACTCAAGGCCCTTCCCGATTTCTGTTCCACCCTCCTCACTTCCCATCACTGCCCTAGACACACTATTCCCTCCAAGACCTTGAACACTCCCCCCACCACCCCACTGCGCCATGCTACCGCCCATTGGCTTGGCCTGGAAACAGACTCCCTGCTCCTGGGCACCCAGCTCCCTTCCACACTCTGTGCCTCTCTCTGCACTTGCCCCTTGTCTCATTTTCCTGTCTCCTGTCCCGCCCATAGCAGATCTGGGGCGGGTGTAACCCTTTCCCATCTGCGTGTCCATTCCTGAGACAGAACCCTGAGCACGTTGTGCATGGTCAATAAATACTGCCCAATTGGCTAATTGACCCCAGAAAATTAGAACCACGTCTCAAGGTACAGAGCTCAATACCAAGGCCATTCTCTACTCTTTTCTTTATTAAATGACCTCGTCCTCAGGGCTCTCACTTCCACGCACGCCATCAGCACCACAGCTGGGGTCCTCATACCTGCTCTCCTTGGCCCATGAGGCCTTCCTTTGGCCCTGGCTGCCTGGCACACTTGTCTTCCACTTTCAAAACCAGTTCAGGTGTCTCCTTGACCACGCCGGTGACTCTCTTCCATGTCTCACTCCTGTCCCTAGATGAGCTTCTTTGTTCCCCTTGTCATGCTGCACTGCATTTGTTTATATGCCAATCCCTCTGACTATTTTGTGAGCTCATTGAAGGCACCACATCTTATTCCACTCTATTTCTATAGCACCTGGCATGTATTAAGTGCTTGGGAAATGTTTCATTGAATTTGTTGAATTGGGCAAGTTTGCTTTGAACAGCAAGGTAAGCCTAAGTAGAACATCAAGGTTATGATGCTTTGTACCCCGGAAGCTCTTTTAAATGGGAAAGAAGTTCGATAGAGAAACAGCGTGCTTGACAGCTCTGCCAAAATGGTCTTCTCTTCACACGGGTCCAAGGAGCCAGCCTCTAGGAAGAGAACCCCCTTGTGTGAATACAAAGTCCTGTAAGTTCTGTTCACAGTTCCTTCTGAGTGGGTCTTGATGCTGGTCTCAAAGCAAGGACAGGCAGAGGGCGGAACCAGAACAGCGTGAAGGAAAACCCTTTTAAAAGTTCAGTAGTGTGGATGGTTCTGGGGAAGCAAATGCTCCCTCCTACAAAAAGGAAAGCCCTGATTCCTCGGCAGAAGAACACATTCCTGGGGCGGAAGGGGGTGGTGCAATTTTCCTTCAGCTGAACTGGTTTTATCATCATCTCCTTCACCTTGAGACAGTAAATAAAAGTCAGGTGGGTACTTTTCAGGGGAAATAAAATGTTTTCCCATTAAGGTTATAAGAAGAAAGAGGAGAAAAGAAAAGCAGCCCTGTTACTGGAAATTAGCTCTTAAATTACTGGATAAGTGGCAATCACTGACTTTATAAGCACTCATTAAGTTTTTGTTAAAGGGAAAATTTGGAAATGTACAGTTTGAATGCACTCAATGACAATGAGAAAAGCTCAGAGTACTCTTTAATCAAAAAAACTGTCCCACATTTATGATCTGATTTGCTCTTCACATACCCTGTGAAGCAGACTGTGATATTATGCCGTGTTCCAGCTATGGAAACTGAGGCACAGTGGCGAAGCACACTGGAATTATAAATCAATTCCTCTAACCAGGGCTCTGTCCACTTTGCCACCCCATTATTCTAAAGCACATCGTGATTCACATTGGGGGTTACAAAATAGTAGTCCTGTTATTTATTTGGTTTTAAATAGTTTTTTCATATTATAATAGTGATTCATGGTCTTTGTAGACATTTTGAGAAACGTATAAAGGAATCAAAATCATTTGTAATCCCACAACTCAGGGATAAACATGACTAATATTTTGATTTCTCATCTATATTTATGCAGTTAGGACCACATTACATGTAGTTTAAATCCTTCTTCTTATACTTTACATCACAAGTATCTTCCCACATGTGTTTTCATGAGCATCATTTCTCGTGGACATGTAATATTCTGTATTATGCCTGAACCATAATTTGATCAACCTTTCCCCCTCAGTTAGATATTGACTGTCTACATGGCCTGTCTGACTAAATGGAGTCTGGCGTAGGACCCTTAAGCCACGTGCTCCCTCTCAGAAACATAGCATGTTACAGCTAGAAGCAGCCTTGGAGGTCGTCCCGTCCAATGATGTCATCTATTTTTTTTTTATTGTGGTCTAATGTACGTAACATAAAATTCATCATTTTAACCATTTTAAAGTGTATAATTCAGTGGCATTTAATACATTCACGATATTGTGTAACTATCACCACTCTCTAGTTCCAGAACATTTTCACAATGATGTCATTTTGGAGCAGAAAACTTAATCCCAGGTAGATAGGGACATCAGCTAATGGGTCATTTAATCAGCAGATGGTCCAGGGCAGTGGCCTCAGCTTGGGTTGCCCTGGTGATGGGGACCCCACCCCCTCCTGGGTGCCTCTCAGGCTGGGAAGGTTTTCCCCAAGGGCACGTCAGAGGATGTCTCCCTCCAGAGTCTGTAACCTGCATCCCATCCTCTCCCAGAGCTGCACAGAATGAGCCTGTTTTTTATGCAATAGCCTTTCACATTTCTTTCAAGGGTCGCTAAACTTACTGGATGATGACTATTTCCCATTCTTCCTGAATCCCAATTAATAACCTCAAGATGAAAAGGGCCATCAAAGCCACAGACATGATTTTCATGGACTCAAAACCACAAATTCAGAGGGAAGTGGTTTTACTCAACTGGAAGAAGGCAGTAAAGATATAGCTGATATATAAGAGGAAATAAAACAATGAGACATAGTGTCTTTGCTGGAGATAATTCCAATTATCACATTGAGATCCAAGTTATCACAAATACTGTAAAATCCTTTTCTTACTTAATAGCATTTTAATGGAAATGTTGGGCTTATGAAATAAAAGTGACTGGTAAAGAAAATATAAATCAAGTTTACCAGTCCTTTGGGGTAAATTTTTTTTTATTGAATTTGGTGTATCCTTGATTCATTAAAATAGGGCAAAGAATCTTGGAATGTTTTATCTCTCATTGTCTCAAAAATAAAATGGAATTCTTTTTCATTAAAACTCTTGTGAAAAGCCACCTATCTCTATCTTGCCTGGAAAACCTACTGTTAAAAATCATCACTGTTTATCAGGGACCTACTATATGTTAAGCTTTGTGCCAAGCAGCTTATGTATATTATCTCATTTATTTCTCAAACAATTCTATGAGGTAGCTAGTCCCATTTTATAGGTTAGGAATCTGAGGTCCAGAGAACCTGAATACTCGCCCAACATCACAAATCAATAGTGGAATCAGAATTTATACTCAGGACTGTCTCACTACACACTCTATGCTTAGTTGACTATATAGTTGAGGTGGGGGAGTGGATGGAGCTAGGAAGCTATTGGAATACTCTCGGGCAATGATTCTGAAAGCATGGTCCCTGGACCAGCAGCATCAGCATCACTTGAGAACTTGTAGGAAACGCAAATTCTTGGCCTCATCCCAGACCTATGGACTCAGACACTCTGTGAGCAAGCCGGTTAAGCTGTTTCCGCAAACCCTGAGGGCGATTGTGATGCAGGCTAAAGTCTAAGAATCACTGGTCAGGGTGAAATCTGAACTTGGCAACTGCTTGGCTATGGAGGACAGAAGGGGAGACAACGCCCTGGATCTTGTTCCCCGCAATCCATGGCTTGGCAGGAGAGCCTGGTGGGCAGTGGTGCTGCCCTGGCAAAGGGAGGTAAGCAGGTTCCTTTCCCCGCCATTTGGACAAGACATGTCCCCCAGTCACTTGGGGATTTCAAATGCACATTGGCATTCCTGAAGAAACTGCTAACCATGCGCCAAAGAAGTCCCTTAAATTAGCCCAGCAGCTAATTTAAAGAGTCGGAGGATGAAGT